GCAGTCGATGTTGATCATCATCCTGTACTACTCTATCTCAGTACCGCAGAAATCACTTGATCAAATCGCCGTTCACAACTCTATCCATTGTATATGGGCATCATACTTATTCTTCACATTACCCCATGATTCCATAATAATAATGAATGAATCCAAAGATTTGTTGCCCATAGTCCAATCAAGAGGTTGTGGTGCTTTACACCAATAACAGAATGCAAGTTCTAATTGCTTTGTACATGCCAGACATAATCCATGCCTGCTATATTCCTTTATTAGACAATACTTTTTTCAATGTCTATGATATTAATATGTGAATCTGGTGGTAACCCAAACATCCATGGTAAGAATATCTGGATGCTCATCACATAACTAGTGGGAATGATACATAAGTAATGATTATTTAAACTATTCAATAAACATGACGCCTAAGTAAATTGTTTACCTTGTACTCGGCATAATATAAATCATGTGTCTCGTCTGTTATCTCAAGCGGAGTCAATTTAACAGATGCATAACGATAAGTAGGTAGACCATACAAGTGTTTATATCTCCTATTACTATCTCCAATACAATCCCATGGAATCCATTCCAAATAAGGTTGATTTGCTGAGTTCGTTTGTAATTGAGATTTCTTAATAAACTCATCGCTAGTCCATCCATCGAATAATTGTTTATGCCCGCAAATGCACCACACAGGACTACATCGGAGTATTCCACATGAAGTGCAGAATCCATAGAGAGAATAACAATGGTAAAAGCAACCATATAATATTTATCATTAGACTCGGTAAATCCTTTTATTATGCTGTTGCGACCGTCAAGCCATTTGGAATATCTTTTGAAGTTGTTGCTATTACTATTGTGCTTGTGTGTTGGAAGTGACTATATTCTGGCAAACTCACTCACAAGTGTTGGTGTGCATTCTTCGCTGTTTCCGAGGAATATCAACGTTATCGTCGTCTCATCACTATCACCATCATCATAGTAGACGTTGTCAATTTGAGTTGGCTCTATGTCGGTAATTTGCGAGCAAGGAACCCATCCAAGTCTTAAGTCACTTTCCAAAAAGAATTTGGTTGTTTTGATTATTGACATTTTTAGTAACGATGCCCATACCTGCTTGGTAACGTGAACATCACTTGATTTAATTAAAATAGACAGTTTTTGGCCTCAGATACGTGCGACTACAAATCTTTGCTCGATGCCCTATTACCGTTTGAAGGGTATACTTCATTTCTGATCTCATGCTTCAAGCTTCATTTCAGACAATCATTCTCTACAAGTGCTTTAAGAGACTAACAATTCACACTTTTATTTATGTAATATGTAAGATCTAATAAAGGCCATACGTGCCTGTAAGACCGCTGCTGATGAGCGAGCCGTAATTCAAAAAGAGTCCGCTGCAATTCGTACCAGTTTTCGTGAAGATAGTAATGACAGCAGATACGCCAATGTAGCCAAATTGTTGTATATCCATATGTTGAGCTATCCAGCTCATTTTGGTCAAATTGAATGTTTGAAGCTCGTTGCTTCCAATCGATTTGCGGATAAAAGGCTAGGATACTTGGGCATTATGCTTCTACTCGATGAAAACCAGGAAGTATTGACGTTGGTTACGAATTCATTGAAAAAGTGAGTTTTAAAAATTGTATCAGAGGGATGGCGGAGGAGTGAAAACGCCTCATATAACGTGTTTTTGGAACAATAGAATGGTTTCAATTTGACGTCTCATATTTTATACTTGATGAGAAAAATAATTGTCGGAACGTCTTTTTGTATTGGAAATGTGCAGTGACATGAATCACTCGAATATGTACGTAGTGGGGCTTGCATTATGTACGCTTGGAAATATTTCATCACCAGAGATGGCCCGTGATCTATGTGCAGAAGTGGAAAAGCTACTCGGTAGTTCGAACACTTACATACGGAAGAAGGTACACTTTACATGAGCTCAACTATGTACAAGTCATGCGTATTATCACAACTTATATTCAATCTTATTAGGCAGCATTATGCGCCATGCGAATAGTTCGCAAAGTGCCCGAACTTCAGGAAAACTTTCTTTCTAGAGCCAAGGGGCTTTTGAGCGATAGGAATCACGGCGTTCTGCTTGCTGGAGTTACGCTCATTACTGAACTATGCAGTCACAATATTGAGGCTTTGCAGACATTCAGAAAAGCTGTTCCTTTACTGGTTAAACATCTGAAGAGTCTGGTATCGGCCGGATATGCGCCCGAACATGATGTGACTGGGATTACGGATCCATTTTTACAAGTTAAAATTTTGAGGCTTTTACGAATACTTGGCAAAGGTGATGTTGAAGCGAGCGAAACTATGAATGACATACTTGCGCAGGTTGGTATGGTTTGATGTTCTTGTGTAGTCTCAACAGTAATGATTCCTGGTGAAGTAATAGTTGGTTGTTTTTTTTTTCAAGGTTGCAACCAGTACTGAATCATCCAAGAATGTGGGCAATGCAATATTATATGAAACTGTGCTAACAATTATGGAAATTCAATCTGAAAGCGGTTTACGCGTACTGGCAATCAACATTCTCGGCAAATTTTTGACTAATCGTGATAACAATATAAGGTGCTTATAACTACCTTTCAACAAAATTCTGTGCTATGTATCTTTTTCTAAAACGCTCTACTTTACAGATACGTAGCATTGACAACTCTCAACAAAACGGTAACAATCAACATGAACGCCGTCCAACGACATCGTAATATAATCCTAGACTGCTTACGTGACGGCGACATTTCCATACGTCGTCGTGCATTGGAGCTGTCATTTGCACTAATTAACGAATCAAATGTGAGAGTATTAACCAGGGAGTTGTTGGCCTTTCTGGAGATTGCAGATAATGAATTCAAACAGGGAATGACTACAAAAATCTGTATAGCGGCCGAAAGGTATGTTAAATCGGAAACCATCCAACAATTTGTACTTTTAGTTACTCTAATGATGGTGCTAGTCTTATAGCTCCTTGGTTTATTTGAAGGAGAACTATTTATTGTGTATTTACAAATTTTCAAGAAGTCACTGATTCATTAAAATTGGCTGTTTATATTAGGTTTGCGCCTAACAAGCGATGGCACATTGATACTGTTCTAAGGGTATTGAAGCTGGTAAGTTTGGTAATTTCAAATGTTCTATTGTTAATCTTTTTCTGACAGGCTGGTTTCGATTTCTGGTAAACCTGGGTAGGCTGGAAATTATGTCCGCGAAGAGATTTTATCAAATTTCATTCGACTGATTGCACAAGCAACAGAGTTAAATGCATACACGGTTCAAAAGTTGTATGCAGCATTGAGAGAGGATATCTCACAGGTAACAATCGTCATTATTTTATTAAATCGTCTTCATATTATCAATGCGTGATCTTAATCCAAGTGATTCAATCATAGGAATCTCTGACCTTGGCTGGCTTATGGGCAATTGGCGAGTACGGTGATATACTCATAAGTGGTGGTAGTTTCGAAGAGGAAGAACTAGTGAAAGAGGTCCGTTAGATTTTGCATTTACGTGTTCATGCGTCAAGTCTAAAACTTAATTAATAATTCGTAGGTTACCGAAAATGAAGTAGCCGAATTAATAGAAACCATCTTAGCCGGACCGTATGCCAATCAAGTGATACGCGAGTATGCGTTGACAGCCCTTATGAAGCTTACTGCTCGTTTAGCTGACCCTAACGTTATCCGACGTATCCGAGCAATTATTGAACAATACAATGCAAGTATTGAAGTTGAAATACAGCAGAGGGCAGTAGAGTATGAGAACTTGTTCCAATTTGAGGCAATAAGACAATCTGTATTGGATAGAATGCCGATACCTGAGGTTAAGGAAGAAACTAATAGGCCAAGTAAGAGATTTTGTTTGTTGGCTTTCTAAAGAAGCTTTTTGATGGAGTAAGAGGTTTAATTTATTTTACTATCATCTGCTCAGCGTACGATGAGGATTCTACGATTAAACCAAGATCAAAGACGCGCGTAAGTGTTATTTCTCAATATCGGGTATCCCCTTATAGCAATATAGGATCAATCTCATATTCATTATTCACTTTCTTTTCCAAAAGGATTTACTTGATTTAGACAGCGACGAACCTATTGCGTCTAAATCAGGTCAACGGAGCATTGTCGACACAGGAAAGAAAGAAATCGACTTGTTAGCTGATATTTTTGGCGAGACCTCCATTAATACTTCAGCACCTGTCCGTACCACAACCGCTGCTACAGCAAGCTCTAATGCCAAAGATGATATTATGAATTTATTTAACACAGTACAACCCACAATCCCAACAACTTCAGCTCCTTTGGATAATTTAGGATTGGACAGCCTTGGATTAGGAGGACTAAATACTAGTGGCGGCGGCGGGCAACCGTTCGTACCGGCACAGCCATTCACAACAATGCAGGCTGATATCTTGCAAGCAACCCCTGTGCAACAAATGCTAGTTCCAACCGACATTAATAATTTGTTCCCCATTAATCAGGCTGTTGCTCAGCCAGGTGGGTGTCGTGTTTTAAACTTTATTAGAAGGGAATTTGTAATTAACTAATGATCGCTTGTTCAGGCATCTACGTTGCATTCGATAAAGATGGGCTCAATATGTCCTTACAACCGGCTAGAGATACCAATAACCCAAATATTCTTAATATTAATGTTATATTTAAAAATACCGGTGTTGGGGCTGTTGTTGAGAACCTACTGTTAAAAGTTGCAATTCCAAAGGTAGGGATTTTCATGTAATTCGGAAAGCCCGAATACTTAGTGCTGCCGGTTGATTGCTAACATTTTTCTGTCACAAATTCACGCATAGACTCAAAAACTACAAATGGAGGCGCCCTCTTCGACAACAATTGCTCCCGGTGGAACAGCGACACAACTTGTTCGCATCGCTAATCCGCAAAAGGTATAAAATAACACAATTTCCATTTATTTGATTGTTTTCATTTTATTGGGGTCAGGATTTTCAAATCAAGATATCCTAAAATTTATTGGATTTTTTTGTTTTGGTAGACCAATGTCAGACTTCGATTAAGGTTATCTTACGAGACTGCGACGGGTGTCAAAGTAGATGAGATGATGGAATTTAGTGAATTCCCTCAAGAACTGTGGTAATTGGGAGCTTGGGATATAATCGGGATAAAATATAGTAAAAAGTAGAATCGTATTTTTCTTTTGATAGCTTAAAGTTAATTTAACAAATAAATAGATATCAAAATGCAACATATTTGATTAGAACGATTAATCGTTGAGTATGCACTGTTCTGTAATTATCTTTTTTTACAAAAGGGGTTATAAAGTTATAATAGGTCAAACGCACACAGAATAGAAGTGCATTACGTCGCCTATTTGAATTTAATGCCGAGATCGATTATCATTGATCTTTAGTCGGGTACGTTTGGCTATGAAACTGTTCCCAACGCGATATTAACACGAACGACGCGTACCGCATTTATCATCTGAAGACCCAAGGGCAGTTCACTGCCGGCTGCCAAGTATTTTTTTTTTTTTTGAAAGCTCTCACGCGTCGATTCGATACTAAGGGGGGGATTAGATATCGTATAAATCTAAGCAAGTTTTAATGTTTAAGTTTACATAAATCCCGCACAATTTAAGTGACATAGTAACCAAGAAAAAAAAATGCATTTGAGGCATGGACCTTAGCTGTCAAGCAACCACGCGTTTTATAAACAACTAAAAAAAGACGCACTTGTCCATTCATACCTACGGGAAAATAATAAATAACGATTTATCTATTCTCCATTAGACGATGCAATATCCCGCCTATTTCTCTGATATTACTAAAATGCAGAAATAAAATCTCTGGATAATCCTTTTTGTATAATATACAATAAACTTTGCTTCGTGGCGTTTGAAACTCCATGCGCAAGGATTATGATAAGGTTTTGGTCTGATATGGTAAATCGCGTGGAACAAACTCGGTAATAGCAAAAATTAGTATCAAATTCTGGATTTTGTGGGCTGATAATCCCGTTCCAATTCCACGATTGGTTTCGGTAAGTGGAAATAATATAATTACAGTCAACTCTATATATAAGGACCTCCTCTTTACCACAGAAACTGAATGGAATGACAACAGACATGAGTTCAGATGCCAGAAAACAGCCACTAGGGAGCATATTCAGAGCATAAAAAGTTAGCCTGGTTTCTGTGGGAAAAGAGGAAGAGGTAAAATAATTGCATTTAATATTGGATTCCAATGAATCATACTATATGACATATACAATACACTCACTAATTGCTTGGGTGCTGAACACCTTTACTTTGGTTGCAATGTTCACATCGCAGTCTACATATAGGGGGGGGGTTGGAAACACGTACAGAGGACAACCCCTTAACTAGTTCTTCGCCAATTTCTTCTGTTAAAGCTTCTGTTGTCATCGCGAATGCACATATTATTGAGATGGCTTGGGAGTATCTGTACCATAAGAGAAACGTTTATGGTCAGACTGAAACATATGTTTATTACAAGACAAAATCGGAAGATCTTCTTACTCCAATGGTCGCTTGTGAGGCGTTACCATCAAATGCGTTAAGTTCGAGGTTGAGATGGAGTTTGGGAATGTGGTAAAACCTGTGACGCTTGGAAGGCATCCGTCTTTGCCTTAAGACATACTGTGGCCAAAGCGGTAACAAATTGTGAACATCACGAAAACGTATGCACATGCATGAATGTCTACCTACCTCAACAGTGTTGTAAAGACCGACTGATCGACTTAGGGATTTTTTGGCGTCAGATAAGCATTATTGACAGTAGCAATTCCTATATCTGACTGTTATGACATGTGAGTCTTGTTTCTGTAGTATCCAAATATTATAACAAAAATAACATACTTCCAATCATGAAATGTATCTAAAGCAGAAAGCTTGACTTGAGAAGGAATAGATAAGATGCGATTCAACAGTTTTAAGCTTTCAACGAACAGTGCGACAGCCTGGTCATAATTGAGTGTCTCTGTCTCAATGATATAAATGATATAATTTTGCATACACCAGTAAAAAGCACTTTTTTTCATGAAGTAAACATAAACGCCTTGTATAGATGGATGAACAACATAGTTAAAGCAGGCTGTCGAAATAAGACGCGGTTCACTTTCTACGTTGATTATCTGTGACATAGTGTACCTACGCGAGAAACTATTCTGTCGCTCATGATTTAATTCAAATTTGCAACGTGTCGTACGATTACATTATTTTGCATCCTACATATTTATGAGTAAGCCTTTATTCGGCCGCGGGTGCCTTTTTTCTGTGATACAAATCATTGCGATAATAGTAGTAAACACCGATTACGCAATTAATGTGCTTTGTTGTCTAACCAAGGCTTTACTAATTTGGCTAGGAAGTGATCAACATTACCTTCATTCGTCTGACAATACAGTCCGAGAGATTTCCGAATCTGTGAATCAGATCTAGAATAATCTGCAATTCAATAATTTTTAACATGAGAATTAAATGACATCTTATCGATCGAATACTTCAAACAAGAATTGAAACTAACGGTAGAGACATACTTTTACGAGTATATAGTCTCAGAATTCAACAACTTTAGAAAGCAGTTTTCTCTTAAACGTCACATTTCGTACACAATGAATTCAAGACTAGAAGCCGCCTTGTCTGTTCGGTTCTCTTGTCGAAAGTCATTAGTCTTAGTAGTATGCGAGATTAATGAAAAACAGAAGATGGCATTATAACGGAAATGGCTAAGTATTTTCCTGAAGTATCTATATTCCTTGATTCTGTAGAGAATTACTCTCTGTGTGCCAGATCGTCGTTAAAAGGCTTATATTAAACGAGCCACTAAACTAGATTCAAGATTCAGAAGATTAAGACACTCTAACTGCCGGTGTTTGAAAAGACTTTTGCGATTTTGAAGTCCAAGTAATTCAGCGTACTAAATGCTTTTGTAAAGGATAGAGAAGCTGGAAAATTTCAATCAGCAATTGCTATCTGAGAATGCAGTACCAAGAAACGGTTAGATAAAGCATTTACCGAGCAACAAGATCGTATTAGGTGCGGGACAAAAATTGCTAAAAGGGACGAGGTAATTCGTACAATAATTTAATAAGTGCGATGAAAAACCATGAGCAATTTGATTTAGATAGTCTTTTAGAATAATCTCTTTCCAAATGGTTTGCTGAGCAAAATCCAGTTGTTGTGAAGTTTATTGAAACTCTTATAACGAAAAGGAATATCAACATAAAAGGGAAAAGCTTTTAAGTACGCCGTAGCGGTTGATGCTAAATACGGTTAAAGCGCGACTACTTAAAAGAACATCACTAGGCACACATCAAGAAGCAGATAATCAAGCTCGTTAACAAATTTACAACTTTTATCCATTATTATTATTAACTCTTCGGTACCCCTTTTTAGGTGATTTCGAACGATCACGTTTTCGAGATTTATCAAGTAAATCCCGTCAAGATGTTAGAAATATCTTATCTGAAACCATTATTAATACTAATAAAGAATAATAGTTGAAGGTTAAATAGCATTATTAACTCTTCGATATTAAGACTTTTTTCTCTTATAAAAGTTGCAAAGGTGAAATTGTCGAGCAATGGTTGTATATGTTTAAAGAGCGTGTTAAATTATGTTGCCGCAGTCCAGCAGTCTTTTAAGACATAGCTTGCTAATTAAGTATATAATATACATATCTAAGGTATACTATAATTCGAGCTATTATATCCTACTTTATCAAACTACAGCTTGACAATAAATAAGGTATTACACGGCTATGTATTGTCCTTTCTGCATAATATTAAATGTTTTCCGCCGATATACTATTATTAGAAACAAGGATAACATCGAGGCAGTGGGTGCTCTCATCAGCAACTTCGGTAATTTTCAGTAATTGTGCTATTTATACTATTGTTTCGGTTACAATCATGTTTTATGGCATGGCAAGAGCTTATTATTATGTCAAATCTGTCAGAGGAGGTAAGCACCCTGTTGATAATGACGAAATATACACGTATTTGTGTTACTTGTGATAGAAAGTTCTTACGCGTTGATGATGCAAAATTATGGCTGTGTAAGAATCAAGTATTCGGAGTAAACAAGTTTGGATCACCTTTTCTCTCTTAACCATCTTTTTTCCCCTCTCCTTGACTGATTTCAGCCTTTTGAAGTTAAAAATACACGTCAAAAAGGAGAATATATGTAATCTGATTTGACGTTTACTCAAAATCTAGTATATTTTTCAATATGCAACTTGAATATTTAATGGCATTCGCCTTGATTAACGATTTACTATCATTTATTTTTGTTGTAATTTATTGTCACTAACGTGTCTTCGAATAGAATATCTTAATTTCAGCAGTATAATGATTGATTTGAAAGACAAACACATTGTAACTATTGAAAGCGACCAACACATGTCATAATTTAAAATATCTCCACGTTGTGGGATGTTCGTGCCATCAATATGTAATTGCTCTGATATATCAGATATAGAATATCGTGGTTAAAGTTTAGGGCATGATTCAGCAAGGAAGGCAATTCATATTGCGATTTGAACTCGCAATTTTAATAAGTGAGATATCAGAAATGTTCTCATTGTAACCTATATAAAGATGAATTAGATTTGGGCACAAAGATGCTATCTCACAAACTGTTTTATCACTGATGTGCTGACGATGTTCATGGCACTTTGTTCTATTCTTGTATAATCTGAGGTGTAATCGATAGAGCCATCCAAAACCTGTATCATGATTAGTTATCGAATAAAGACGTTATAGACAAACAAAACGGGTAGGGTGAGAATGAAAAAACTGGCTCTTTATAGGAGATTAATAATAGATGACAATTTATTATAATAGTATACGCGTAATATTTTTCATTTCCGATAACCCAACGCTCTGATGTTATAACAAAAATATGACGGAGACTTTATGAATCGGTGATCCTTTGCTGCTATTACAATAACTTAAATTACCTTAATTTTGACGGTCGCAAATGGAGTTTGAAAGCACATGTATCTACACTAACAAAATATTAAACAACCAGCATTGACTATGACTATGACGTTGAAGAGAAGGTTAAGGTTTATGGCTTTCTGCAACAAGTCGTCGTTGAGTAAAACGTTTGTATCTGAGTAAAAGGTTGCAGCGGACTTCGTAACTTACCCCATAAAGGTTATCAGCGCGTTTGCTGGACGTGGCTGTTTAACGTCATATAAGACAGTCAAATTTAGATCTAATTTTAGCAATTAAGCCTTTCTTATTAAGTTATACCCAAAATTTATGTGACTTGGGCTCAATTTCACCAACATCAAATTACACTATTTTATTTCCCGGTTTAGTTTAGAGCAATGTTTCAAGTTATTTTTCTTAGTAACCTTTAATAGGAATATGCAATCGACGTCTGGTTAAGTGCTTGGGCGTTTTATGTACCTATCAGATTGTCTCGCGCAAGCTTTACGTTGAGGTTGTACATTGCGTAATAGATATGCAAGGTATGCCGAAATTGGGCGTATTCAAGTATAATCGAGGTTATTGCGAATGGCTGTAGGCACGTTTGGGCCAAGTGATAAATTTGGATAGAGTTTGACTCCAAGTTGCAGAAACATCTGCGAAATTGATCTGGAGGCGAGCTCCATGTCAGCATAATTTGGACATGTGAATGGCTTCGGAATTATAACGAGATTTTAATATACTAACGATTAAATTTAAAAGAAAGAGACAATTGGAACATCGTGTTTCCTTTTTCTCTTTTTAATCTCTCCTCTTTCTTCCTCTTCTGATATAAAATACCTTTTCCCCTTTTAGTTAGATTTTGTAATTAATGTGTCAGAAAGTATACAGTACGGTATACTCTAACAAAACAAGTCTAACAGTCCCAATTAATTCGTCGTCATAGTTCTAACAAGTTTTCACAAAAGAAGCAAGTCGCCGTCATAAGCTAAACTGAAAGAGGATAATCTGCTGTACATATTCGAGCTGCCTACAGTCATCGCCAGAAGAAACATTGAAAGTTTAAACACAAAATTATAGAATAAGAACTTCGTAAGATGCATCAATTGTTTACTGTTACATTCGTAATTAATCTACTAATATGGTACTAAAAAAAAGATCATGTCATGTATGGAAATAATACGTTTTATGTAAACCTCTTACAATATTATCATGTTCGACCAACAATTAGAAATAAATCCATCGATTATTGTCCAGTTTGTTTTTTTTCGATCACCATGGTCTTGTCTAAGCCATGCGTTGGGCCAATTGAAACCTCGATTAAGAATTGTACAATGTTCTCTGCGTTTACATGTTACCCAGATCAGATGTTTCATAAACGTGGGTCAGATGTGACATCAAGTTTGCGTGTTATGTTCTGTGGGACTAGGAAAATGGTCGACTTTACAGTTAGCCTTCTCTAAATGGGCCATTGGTAGAAATGTTGTTGCTAAAAATAAACGATAATCGTAAGCCACCGGGGATCATAAATTAATCGGGAAGGAGATTTAATATATCGCCAACAAAAATTCTTATTTGTTTTAGCACTATGACATTTATGATCTTTATTCTTCCACCTTATGGGTATACTATGTATGCTACACAGGTGACCTTTTTTTTTTTTAGATGCAGTTGGGTTTCTATTTTAATAGATTTTCGTATATAGATAGAAAACAGATGACTTTAGGCAAAATTACACTTTTTAGGGGTGTTATTATTATGTGTTTGTTGTGGCGTTGCCTCGTGGCGCTACATGGGCGAATCGAATATGTTAAGTAAAATCGGTGATTTGGGGGAACAGAAATAGCCTTTTTTTATTAAACCAAGTGCTAGGCAGCGCCGATGCGATGTTGTGTACCCCGACAGTGCGTGACACGTGGCTGACTTAATTTGTATGTTTGATTGGTCTTAAACAGAAATTCTTCTTTCCATAACCATTAGCTGAAACTCGAAACTGTCCTGAAATTCATAATTGCCGTATAAGTTCAACAGATAGTCCACCAAAGAGTATCAGAATGCGGGTTAACATATGAATTGAAAAACGGATACCTCCGTTTGATATTGTTTATTTTTACCCAAAGTAAGTTTATATGACCATATTGTGCATTTCATATGATGGGACATACGAGGTCGAAATGCGAGCGGAGAGGGGGTTGGGGTGTTAT